AATTCAGATGGACCGAGGAATGTAGCAGTGCGTTCGACGACTTGAAGAAATTGCTCACGGCGCCCACAGTGATGACAGCGCCAAAAGCAAAGGAAGTGTTGTATTTGTACATAGCTGTGTCGCACGTTGCTGTGAGTGCAGTTCTCGTGTCCAGGGATCCTCAGACGAATGAAGAGAAGCCAGTATATTATGTCAGCCGCACTATGGTAGGCCACGAAACACGATATGCGCCCATCGAAAAGGCCGCGCTAGCAGTGGTGATGGCGGCAAACAAACTCAGGCCCTACTTCCAGGCGCATAGCATCGTGGTCCTCACAAATCTACCCTTGCGAACCGTCCTGGGGTCCATGGATGTGGCGGGGCGCCTGGTGAAATGGGCTGTGCAACTGAGCGAGTTTGATGTGAGCTATGCGCCTCGTCCCGCAATTAAGGCGCAAGTCTTGGCAGACTTCTTGGCGGAAGGCGTGTCGGATGGAGGATTGGAGGCTGAAGAGTGTTGGCAAGTACATGTCGACGGCGCTGCAAGTCGAGTAGGTGCGGGGGCGGGGATCGTCATTATGAGTCCCTTAGGCGCCTTGCATGAAGTAGCCTTACGCTTTGCGACCCTCAAGACGAACAATGCGGCGGAATACGAGGCTGTTTTGGCGGGGCTCCACATTTCCGCTCATATTGACCATCTCATGCATGTCTCGATCCTATGGATTCCTTTCATTGACCTTTTTTTTTGGTAGGGGTGACAATACGGTTGTGGTTTTGCAGTTAAATCGTTCATCGCATTGAAACCGTGCGGTTTGTTGTTAATCACTTATCGAATAAGAAGGCTCTACTGTGGTTGCGGTCAGTAATATTGGTTGTTTTTGCGGTAGTAGTTTAACAACCGAACAAGAACTAACCATGCAATTTCTGATTAATCGCAAAGTGAATAAGAACTTCGAAGGTCTTTCCAGTTTCCTCTTGCATGTTATCGTCTTCGAAATTCACTCTTCAAAAGACAAGGTATCTCGGCGAAACACCATCGAATACAGGACACACACCACCTCCATAGCCATCGGCCGTAGCATGGCATCAACTTCAGTCCTACACCTTGTTACGGTAAAAATGGTTTGCATTGCGGTTAACTGAACTTTGCGGTTAGCGATTAACTGCTAACCGTTTGTGATGCGGATGTTGTTAGCATATATGACTATTTTGGTTGAGGTTAACCACAAATTTTGATGCGATTAACCGCAACCACACTGATTGCCTGCCTTATTGTTTTGTTGTATTTAAGGATGACATTATATGAGGTTTCCTCGAACTCAAACTCAATTTAGAGGGTATATAGGTAAAAAATAAATCATCAGAATATATATCTATTTGTTTTTCTACATAATCTATTTGGTTATGGAGGAGCAAATTCAACCCAATTTATTGGGTATTATATTTGTTACATGAGTATTCGTGGTGCATGACGGCATGGGTACTCATGAATACAAAGATATAATCATGACTTATATCCTTCAAACACTAGTATTTTTATATTATCGAAATGTTCCCTGCAACTGCATTTAATAAAGATTGTAATATATCAATTATCAAATTAATGAATTATCCATGCATCATACTAATTATTGTTTTATAAGGGTAACATAGCTTGATTTTTACCATTTTGTGTTATTTAAAATATTCAAACCTTGGACCTCCAGATTGAAGACTAATGACAGTACCACTATTCTAAGTCCTTGTTTACCACAATTAAACTTTGTAATAAATTATAAAACACTAAAATAATGTCGACTTGAAAATTTAGAGTACAAAACAACTTTTGTCTTTGAGTGTGAGCCGTATGAAAAAAGTTGGAATTTAACCCTCATCCGAACCAACCCACTAATTTCAAAATTGAATTTTGCCATTACCCGACCCAAAAACTATTCACTGGTGAATCCAGGGGCCACCCCTGGGCCTCTGCCCAACCCTACTTTCGATCCAGAGCTAGTAACGTACTCGTTGGATTGCAGTTCAATACTCTCCGCCTCTTTTCAAATGTAGCATAATGCTCTAACATGCCTTGAATCCGCCGTTAAACCTATTGGCATATGGTTTTATGCTGAATGACCAAATCTGATCATGCTGCAGATTTGGGCTCAATTATCATTCCTAGTAGCATGTAGCTTTGAAATGGTTTATCCTATCTCCCCCTCACATTAGAAAAAGAAACCGTTAGCAGCGAGCTTTGTGTAGGCGATTATATGTATAGCTACCCTGGAAATAGGTGTCAATGATGAGCTAAAAAGGTACCCAGGAGAGGATTATGGAGTATAATTATTAATTAGCCTCCTAAAGGTGGTTTCTAGTACAAGATTTAATTAGAAAGTGGGATTTAGTCATTTAGATGCAATTAGATCCCACTTCCAAAAGGGAGGAAAAGAAAAGGCAAAAGAAGAAAGAGGGCAAAGCGGAATGTTGAAATTGGGGGACAAAATCTTTTGATTTAGGCCCGTAATGTCTTTGTTCATCTACCCTTTGCCTTTGGGTAGTTAGGATCGATTGGACCGTAGCGTGTTTCAACTTATAAAGAAGGGGGAAAAAAGAGTTAAATCGAAAACAGGAAGAAAGGAAAAGAAAGAAGGAAAAAAAAAAACGCATATGGAATCTCCAAAATCTTCTAATAAAGAAAACAAAATTTAGCAGGTAATTAACATTCCATAAAACTTGGTTCCAAGTTCCAACCAGGTTAAGCGAATTGGAGACAACAAATCTCGATTTTTACGAATATCGATAAATTCATAAAAGCAGTTAAGAACTAAGACGTGTATATAGTCCTGTCAAGAAAATAAAAAAGAAATTATGATTACCAAAATTTGAAATAAGGACCTCCCGAATCCAAACTTACGCTTTGTCGCCGTGTCTGGCTCTCCGTTACTCTTGGTGTGTGTTACCTTTTTATCTAACATAGACCTCTCAAGTTTCAGAGCCCATTCCGTGCCCAAAATGTTTTTTGTTCGAATCTCGATGACCTTTATTATTGGTAAGTACATGGTGTCATCTGATTCCTATGTGTGGAAACTTAAAACCCATATGAGCAGTGGCGGAGGGAGGTAAGGAGAAGAGGGGTCCTAGGACCCCACTTGGCAAATAATTGGGCAATAAAACCCTTTAAATACATAGGTTTTAGTACGATAATTCAAGTTTAGGACCTCATACTCTCAACGATGTTAGCTCACCAAGGACCCTGGTTAACTCAAAATTCATTAGGTACACAAGCATTTATGTTAGTAAAATTTCAAGGACCCCAGTGGACTTGATGTCTGGCTACGCCACTGCATATGAGTGACTTTTGTTCGAAGGAACATGCTAGCTAGTATGTGGTACAAGATCCATTATCAAACTTCTACCAACAATTCAAGTTATAGAGACGTCCATTGACTATCGAGTAATGAATCAAGTAAGATTTCCAGAAGTTTCCCCAGAGCAATTCAAAGCATATGTCCAATACTCCATTAGGAAGGATGTATATATTATATGGTCCAGCGACAAATTGTATATGCGTAGAGATGGAGCCAGAAGGGTTTTGGTCCAAATCCTTTCTTCTTCTCACCAACCAAATTTCAGACGCGAAAAGAGAGAATATAAACGGATGTCACTCTAGTTAGTTGGAGCCGTCCACGATAACGTTGGGCACCACACACAAAGAAAGATGATCAGGATCCAATGGGCTGGCTGGGGCCATAATGGACGTCGGTTGGGCCTGCTTCTGCTGCAACCTGCCAACCTCCATTACACGTCCACGTCGAACGTCGTTCCCTCGCCTCAGGTAAATGCCAAACTTGGAAGCCGTCCTTCAATAATAAATCTTAGTTGCTAGCTAAACATTAGTACGCATGCATATACACTGCAAACCTACATTTAATTTGAACTCGTTCAATCATTCACGTGCGGAACTTAACTTATTGATCTCCGCTTTTTTATTTCTTCTTCCTTTACATAATCAGTGAGCATATAGAAGAACAATTAGTGTCCAGTACTAAGCTACTATCTATCAACAATTTGAACTATCGAGATGATTATATAATCCATTTCCAGAATAACTAACTAACTAGGTCCTCAAAAAATGTGGGTCTCCCTTTGTTTTCTTCTGGAACTAAACTTGGTCCAATTTTGCTGTGTACAACTACAAACATGTTCCAAATGGACCCATGCAATTATAGATCCAGTACATTTTCCCTCCCCCTAAATTATATATGATTGATGATAATATGTCTTGATCTGGAATGGTACGTAAGGAAACAAAAACGGGAAGGAAGGAAGGATACAAAGGAAAATCCAAGGAGCTGCAGGGAGGACGAAGAAGAAGAAGAAGTAACGAGAGAATGGTGAAGGGCGTGGTCCAAATTTAGGGGTACGTTCGTAGGGCAGACTGTGTAAATGAGATGGGCCTTTCTTTTCCCTACCATGTATATAAAATTGTTCACAGAGGCCAGTTGGGCTTAAGGCCAATAATATATATATATAGTCACAGGTTTCTCAAGGAGGGACTGCAAATCCCTTCACCACCTCAAATGTCGCTGTTTTCCAAGTCTCCTTACGATTTGATTCAGAAGAGAAACGGACGATATTGGGAGGGAGAGATCCCCTGGCGGTTTAGGACCATTCTCATCACTACCCTACACGATTTTGTATCATATAAATAAGCCCTCTGGAAAAGGATAACGAAATCAAAAGATAGAGATTTAAGAGCGATAATACTCTGTTAACAATCACCTGATACGTGTTTAAGAAGGTGAAAAAAAAAAAGATGGGAGAAGAAAATAATGGTAACAAATGATTTGCATGTGTACATTAATAACTGATTGCTTGAAAGAAAAAAAAAAAGGATTAGGCGCATGAAAATGAGATACTTACTTGTGGTGGTTAAATATCTGTTACCAATTTTGCGAACAAGAGTTTGATTTAGTGATTCTATCACTGATTTTCAACTTAAAAATCTCAAATTTAAATCTTAAAAAGCTAAAAATAAATTCAAATTTACGTAACCTTTATAAAAAATATATATCACTACCGATTTGGGCTCTACTTCTAAGTGTAGTTTATGAGATTTCAGTGGAGCTCCAAAAATAAGCCCAGAGACCGAAAATAATATTGGCCACCGTGGATCTTGCAGCCCTACTACAAGGAGCTGGAAGACAGGCCTGGCCCAATTACTGAAACGAGATAACTCCTCACTTCGCAGTCATTCACTGGTAAACAAACAAAGTCTCACTGGGAAGAGGCTTGTGGAGTTCCACTCCAGAACTAGAATTGTATGTATTTTGGATGCATCAACTATTTACTTGCTCTCATCTTATGGTAGAACTTTGAGTTTTGATCTTAACAACCCCGTTGCTCATCTTGCATACGTGACCATTAGTCCAGACTACGAGTTGATGATGTATGGTTCCCAAATCCTTGCTCTCTGGAATCTGAAGACGAGGATGGTGTTGTAGGCGAGACACGAGAGTATGAAATCCTAGACATTATTGTCACAATATTATCATGGAATTGAAGGTCGAGATCCCGATAACTGCGATTAGTGGCGGATCCAGAACACAGAAGTGCACTGGGCCGCATTTTATTAGAAAATTAGAATAATAAAAAAATATCATGATTATAATTTATTTACAATGTAAATTGTACACGGTGGTATTTCAATTTAGCGAATGCATTAATAATGGAGTCCACATCCATACCAATAGTATACACTGTTTCAAATAAAATACTTGAGCAATCGACTAGAAATTTATCGCTCATTTTGTTGCGCAAATCAATTTTCACATGTTTCATTGTTGAAAAGGTTCTCTTCGTATTAGTTGTTGAAACGAGCAGCATCAACATCAGACAAATCAATCTACTAATCAATTTGCATTGTGTTTCCATACCTATATCCACCCGCTGCTCTAGTAAATTTTCAAGGTAACAAACCTCATATATGTTTTAGTCTTTTACGTTTTAAACTTTTTGAATTTTTAGGTTTCATTGTTTTTTTAGACGAATAACCTTTGGGGTTAGAATTTATAAGCTAAATTTAGAGTAGTGATTTTGAATATGTTCATCTGAATTATTTTTCTAATTATACCCAATCTTATTTTAAAATAACAACGACCCGAATATCTAAAATCGAAAAATTCATAAGGCTTATACTAACTATGGATCCAGAGGAGGGCTGGGCCGGGGCCCGGGGTGGCCACCCCCTGGATCCGCCATTGACTGCGATCATCGCGTTAGTGTTCACAAACATTCTAAATGATCTTGATGTTGGTGACAATAATGATCATGTCGTTACTCACAACTCATTTTATTAGATACGGATAATGATGTGAAATTGAATTCAAATTACAAAACATACATTTTCTACAAAATCTACAAAGGAGGTTTCTTTAGGCTTCTTTCTCTCAATATCTTATGAAAACCTAAAAATTGAAAAAGAGAATTTAAATGGACAAAAGAAAATGTCAAAAATAAAACTAAAGAAGAACAAGAAGAACGAGACGGCCACGTGTAATAACCTGAACCATTCATTCACTTCTTATTCCTCCTGGAGAACACCATCCCGCGGATCCCATCCGGGTCGGCAACGAACCCCAGCGGGCGGTAAAACCCGAGAACCCGGGGCTCCGAATACAGCGCAATGTTCACAATCCCTTGCTCCAAAATCTCATCCACCAGCCTCTCAATCACCGCCTTCCCCAACCCGATCCCCTGAAACGACGGGTCGACCACCACGTCCCAGATGATGGCGTTGAACACCCCGTCGCCGGTGGCCCGGGCGAAGGCGACGGGCCACCCGCTCCGCTTGTCCTGCACCCATAGCAGGGAGCTGGTGTGGTCCAGCGCCACCTTGATCCGCTCCGGGTCCCGCCTCGGGAACCCGACCCGGACAAACACGGCGTTCAGCTGGTCCAGGTCGAGGTCGGCGGCGGTTCGCCGGAGGAGGAAGCCGCGGGACTCGAGGTCCTCGTTGGAGATTGCGTATTTGGCTTTTACAGAGAGGGAATTGATGTTCGTCGTCCGACGAGGGGTTCGGGAGGAGTGAGTGGCGGCGGTAAGGCGAACATTCGCGGCGGTGGCGGAGGAGGAGACGGCGGCGCTACGGAGGAGCATCATTGGTTGTGAAATGGGAGAAGGATTGGCGGAGGATGTGGAGAAGATGAGAAATTTGGGGATAGAATTAGAGCTGTTGATAGGTTGTGAGCGCGTGGGTTTTTTTCCGGTTTTGATCCACGAAGATGTTTATTGGGCCCCCAGTTTTGTTTGGTGCTGGCAGCTCCACGTTACTTCTGGCTAGGTGTTGTGTTACTTCAATGTTCAATCTTCCATCTGATTATAACCTTTCTGTAAATTTGGTGTTAATCCCTTTAAAGCACATAAGAAACGACCAAAATGTCCTCCAACTTAATCGAGGTGAAGGCCTTTTAGGAAAAAAAAAAAAAAGTTGGTTATAGTAGAGTTTCAAAATGATGCAATTTTTTGGTACGTTTTAGTTTTGTGATTTGTGATAGGAAAGATAGAGTCGTCTCGGCTTGTTCTACAGTCTCTAGTTATTGACGAAAATTCAACCAGTGCTCGACAATGAGATGCTTAGGGAGCTATTCAGAAGAAGAAAATAAAGTTGAGCAGCTTCGTTAGTAAAAAAAGTGGAAAGGCCAAAATGGGCTCAGCATAGTGGGGATAAGATTAGGGACTGAAGGTGGTTTCGTAATCCATGGTGTGCCGTCTTGGCCAAGAAAAGCCCATTTATGGTGAAATGTCAAGCCCACTTTTCGCTAACATCAAGGAGGCCAATTGAACTCCCGGATTGTACCATAACAGAGGACTAGCGTGGGCCCTCGCCAGTTAGCCGGAAGAAGGTGAGATATGAAATTTGATAATGTAATAGAGTGTATAGCTTATTGTTTTATAGTTTTTTTTTCCGGGAAACAGGTGATAAAAATAGTGAATTTTAGCAATAAAGAGACACGAATGATGCAACGAATCAAAAATTGGCTTTATGAACCAAAATCAAGTACCAGTTACCTTGTGAAACAATATTGTTTCTGGTAATATGATGATGTGGAGTAAGTTTTATAGAAACCGGATTCCAGAAAATTGAATAAAAAATCGCCTATCCCGTCGGTCTTCAGAAAATGAGCATCTCACTATCGTTGCTAGCTTTTACTCGGCCCGTTGGCCGATTAATTTGCTTTGTAAAACTTTCATCTTGTCGTCATTGGGCTTTTTGGTTTTTGTCAGGTCATGATAAAATCTAAGGAAATCAAGAACGAACAACACGATTTGGGATAGGAACCGTCGTTGTCGTATCCCTAGAAAATGGTGGTAAACACGGACTCACCTGCCAAACTGGTTTGGATTGAGATTTTTATCGGGTATCAGAGAACCATGTGACTATAAATTAGACTTGATCAAAACGGGTCAAAACTTGAAATTCAACATGTTTGACCGACCCATGCCAAATTCTAATTATTCTTTACTTTTAAACTTTCTATTTGAAAATAAAAAATAGTGAAAGAAAAGAGATGACTGCAATTCGCCATTTGCACATCACTTATTCGGGAATAAAACCATAGATATAAAATAATAGAATAATATATATTATGCTATTTTAGAATGGCAAAATAATGATGTTCATTTCTTTTACTTGATGATAGAGGTGACAATTTTCAATCCAATCCACCAACCCATTAAAAATATCTACCTAATCCAATCCATTTGATCCAAATCCAATTGGATTGGTGGGTTCATGAATTGATCCATGGATACAAATGGCAAATTACGGTTTGGTACCTATACTTTTTATATTTTACATTTTGGTACCAAAAATTATATTTTTTATACGAAAAATATCATTGGAAAATTACGTTTTAGCACTTAAAAATTTTCATTATGACATTTTAATAACTAAACTTTTCATATTTTACATATTGGTCCTTGGTTGAGGATGTCATTTGGATTCATGGATAATCCACCAATCCATGAATCCACCAATCCATTGGATCCATGGATCCACCAATCCAATCCACCAATCCATAGATCAATCCATTTGCCACCTCTACTTGATGGCCAAATCCCGTGTAGGTCAGACCCATTCAACTCTTTTATTTTATGGTTAGCGGTTAGCCCATTAGATACCACGCATTAGTTTATTGTTAAATTTTTTATTTTTAGCAATAAAAATGAGTATTGTTTTTACCTTTTCATATATATATATATATTTTATCACCACGGAGAAATAAAAGGGCTTAAAGAAAAAAATTGACACTCCTGGACTTGTTTAAATCCGCATGTGTACGGTAAGTTGGCCCGTTCCACAGAGGAAAGAGAAAAAATTGACACTCCCTATTCTACCCTTCCTACAAACGCTCCTGGAGCAGGGAATTTGAAATGGGGAAAGGGTTTTTTCCTCCATGCTATTATATGTTTTTAATTTAAAAAGATACAACAAATGTACTTAGTGTGATTGGTTATGATCCTTGCTTTTCTTTATAATGGTCATGGTTTGAATCTCAGTACATATCTTTTTAATGAATAAACAAAAGTAGTTGTGAAGACCAAAATGTCCTTCCTACTTTCACTCTCGTTGCAGGAAATTTAAAATGGGACTCCCGTTTTTCCCTTCGGTGTATAATAGTATGTGTAGATATAGAGGCTCCTTGAACCTTGGGAGTTGGGGGCTTCCATTATCCATGCAAGCAACTAATTGAAGCAACCATGTCTAATTGACAATGGCGGAGATCATATGCCTCATGACTAGGGATGGCAATGGGTAGAGTCGGGTGCGGGTTTATCCTATACCAACTCCTAACCCGTCGGGTAGAGCCTCCTAAAATACCCGATCAAATAACCACCGGGTATGGAAATGATATAACCATACCCTACCCACCGGGTAACCACGGAAATTCGGGTAATCACAGGTACAAATCCTAAAAATGAACTTATACATATTTTTTTTTTATAAATAAAAATGAACTTATACATATATGTAGGGCTAGTCATCGGGTGGGTCGAGCGGATTTTGCCCATCAAAGTGACCCACCCAAGCTATAAACGGGTGGTACAAAATTGACCCACCACCCGCCCACAAACTTGAACGGGTTGGGTCGGGCGGGGTGCGACACAGATGAATTGGGTCACAGTTCAAAACGGTTGAACAATCACTAGTGAAGATGGAATAAACAAGCACCTGTGTCTGTGTGTAGCTTTAAGAATAACATATTGATAAATTCTATATAAATAACAACTTTTTGTTGATGATTTCAATATATAATTGGTTAACAAAACTATAGAAGCATCCAGAATAGTAGTAAAGGAAATTAGTAGCACTTCCAGTTCTACAACTTGCTTGGCAGGAAGCGAACCCATGAATCAACAATAACAACTTTCATTCCATTGGAGATGAGTGAAAGTCCAGGTGAACCCTTCATAGTCCGCATTTGTTAGGGATGGCAATTACCCATCCATGGGTAATTATACCCAAATCCAAGTAGACCCATTGATAATGGGTTGGGTAAGGGTGAAGTGCATATGGGTTTGGGGGGTTTGTAAATGGGTTTGGGTAAGGTATGAATATTGCTTCAATAATCTAAATGGGTATGGGTTGGATATGGATATCCATTTACTTGAGGGTGTTTTAACTACACATGCAAAAATTGGACCTATTTGTGAAACTTGAAAAATTTAGGTACCAAAATGTAAGACAACAAAAATTTATGTACCAAAACATAATTTTTCATCGATATTTTGAGGACTTATATGCAAAAAAAAAAAATTTAAATTTAGATACTAAATATGCATATCTATTAAGTTTAGGTACCAAACTGTAATTTGTATTTGAGCATGGGTACAAACCTAAATCCATTTGTTATAAACCCAATCCAACCCAAAGTAAATAGATATGGGTACAAACCCATCAAACTCTACCCATATCCATCTATTTGAATTTCATACCCAACCCAATTGAGTTGGATAGTTAAAAACCCGTGAGTATGGCCAAAATTGTCATCCCTATTCACCATATAAGAGGCTCCTGAAAGAGAGAAGCTATGAAACCATGAGTTGAGAGCTTATTAAAGAGGACAAAACAATTAAGAACAATCTCCATGACGTGGTACAGTATCATGATATCATGGCAACAGTTGATAATTGGTAAGACAAGCACAAGTTTTGTTTTTGTTTTTGTTCTTAGAATTAGGGGGAAATCTATCGGTTAGTTAGCGAGGCGGGTATAACGGGATGGTATTAGCAATTACCATATCCGTATTCTACCCTCATTTTTACAACCAAGTATTACCCGTATCCGGCCTTTAACCCGTTAAAGCGAGTAATTATTCACGTTGACCGGTTACGGTCGGGTAGGGTACCCATGGTTTTGGGTTGGATTGTCATCCCTATTCATGACGCTTTTGTGTCAACTGGGACGTTCGATTAGAGTAAACCCACTGAGAGGCCAATATTGCAGCCAATTCTTTTAACTTCATTAGGTCATATTTCTTATCATTCAACTATCATATTTTTCATTCGCCGTATCCGTCCGTCTTTGATAATTAAGGATTAAATTGTGATTTTAACCATCTCATTTCCTTGAAAAATAAGAAGCCACATCCTGAGCTTGTTGACATTTATTTTGAAAGAACAAACAATTTATGTGGAACATGTATGTAATGTAGCTCAAAGTTTTGACTAGGAAACCCTTTTTGCTAAATAAGCGAGGAGGCAAGTTAGAATTAGGGGTGGCAGTTCGGTTGTTGGTTAGCGGCTAACCGGTCGGTTTGACCGATAACCGCCGGTTAGCGGCTAAACCGAAACCGACTGACACCCCTAATTAGAATCAGACAAGATATATACAGGTTAGGGAATCAGATAAGATATATACCGATAATCGATTATCGGTTAAACCGAAACCGACTGACACCCCTAGTTAGAATCTTCAAGAGATTCTGGGAGGCAGACTTCCACCACAAATTTGTCGGCCCACCACTCCATGCCTCCACCATTAATTTCTGCCGAACTATTGGCCATCACCATTAGAAACACATTTAATCATTAATTTATTACACATATGGCCAACTTTTAGGTCTTTTTGTAGGTATCGAAATTTCTGGTTATGATTCATTTCCATATCACCAGGATTTGTATGACTTGGTTTGTAACTTTGCCCAGAGTTTGAATTTCCGTTTAAAGGAAACACCGAGGAGGCGTCTTATGGAGCACAGGTAGCTGCTAATTGCATGTTAATCCGATGACTGATTAACATATATTCTAGTCTTCTTCCGACTCATCTCACATTCATCATCGACCTTTCCATTCTTGTGAAGCAACCAATCAGCATTATTATCATAGATGAATTAAAAAAATGTACTCTGCTCACAACTTGGGTAATATTATAGGGAGATTCATGGCTTTCCTAGCACGTTGAAATGGATTAAAAAAATGTACATGAAGAAGCAAGGTTGTCAACCCGCGGGTATGGATTAAGAAAATGTACATGAAGAAGCAAGGTTGTCAACCCGTGGGTCAACCCACTTTGACCCTGACTCGGTGAGAAAAACGGGCCGCACACGCCCGCCGGGTCGACCGCTATACGGTACCGGATTGAAGGTCAAATTGTGTCATTTTTTTCTTTGGTTTGCGAAATGCGCATATTTTCCGATTTTTCTTTTCGCCTAACTCAATTTTTGGAATCCTAAGTTGAATATTTGAATATTGATGTATATAACTGTGTGGGAATTTTCACTTTATGCTAGATCTAAGTACGATATGTTATTTTAGTGTAATATTATATGTTATAACTCATATGTTAGATAAAATTTGATATAATTTATAAGAAAAAGTACAATAGAATGACTCTTTCCATATTTCCGGGCCAAACCGGCTA